GCTCAGGTACACTAATTCATGGACAAGTCCTTGCTTCCATTTTTGTTCTTTGTGGATGCATTCTTTTAACTCCCAGAGCCCGCTTTTATTCAGTGGTGTGGTCTGCATGCCTACCAATCTAAGTATAGTACTGGGAGCTTGACAGACGTAAGGAATCTTGGCCTCCTCCCAGACTTACTGAACCAGAATCTGCATTTTAACAAATACACCAGCTGATTCAATTATATCTTAACATTTGAGAAACTCTGCTCTGCATTATTCTCTAGATGCAAATATAACATCTGGCCATCTTGGCCTTGGCTCTCCCCAGCAGCCATCCCTCCTAAAGGTCACAAACTGTTGTCAACTGAGACCCCTACCTCATACCTGTGCAAAATCCTTTCTAGTCACAGAAGTAAAATAATAATTCTGTGGTCTAATACGTTTGTAGACACCAAACTTTTTTAAATATTATTTTATTGTGTTTTTGGTGAAAGTTTACAGAGCACACCAAAATTTTAAAAATGCTGCCAAGTCCTACTACTTACCACTATGTTTCCAAACTTCTCTGAGAATGGGATACAATCTGTTTTCCTGTTTCCTGTGTTAACTTGTGTAACATTGTCATGTTATGTCAGTTTCAGAAATGTTGGTCACCACCAAGGGTTACAAATGCAAATGCCCACAGTGCTTAAGGAGGTAGTAGAGAAGTACAGAAAGCCCAGGTGAGAGACCCCAGGGAATGGTGGGAGTCATGGGGTGCTCAGATTGCATTTCTTTCCCCATGGGGTCCACTCCTCACTCATCTTTATACAATGTTGTCATGCAAAAATTAGGTCTGACATTACCCAGTCTTCTGATTTTTCAAAAGTTTATTATAAGGACGAATTATGGATATGTACAACTTGGAGGGACCCCAAGGGCATCATGCTGAGTAAAAAAATAATTCAAAGATTAAATACTGTATAAGTCCTTTTTTTATAATTTTATTGTGCGTTTGGTAAAAGTTCTCAGCTCAAGTTAGCTTCTCATTCAAAAATTTATACACATACTGTTTTGTGACATTGGTGCAATCCCTGCAATATGTCAGCACTCTCCCCCTTTCCACCCTGTGTTCCCCATGTCCTTTTGTCTAATTTTCCTGTCCCTTTCTGCCTTTTCATCTTGCTTTTGGGAAGGAGTTGCCCATTTGGTGTTGTATATTTGATTGAACTAAGAAACATGTTCCACTCGTGTGTTACTGATTGTTTTATAGGCCTGTCTAATCTTTGTCTTAAAAGTGGGCTTCTGGAGTGGCTTCAGTTCCCAGTTACCAGGGTGTCCAAGGGTCACAGTCTCAAGGGTTCCTCCAGTCTCCATCAGACCAGTAAGTTTGGTCTTTTTTTGTGAATTTGAATTTTGTTGTATACTGTTCTCCCATTCTGTCTGGGACTCTCTAATGTGTTCCCTATCAGAGAGATCAGTGGTGGTAGCTGGGCACCATCTAGTGCTTCTCTGCTCAGGCTGGTGGAGGCTGTTGCTCATGTGGTCCTTTAGTCCTGTGGACTAATATTTTCCTTTCGTCTTTAGTTTTCTTCATTCTCCTTTGCCCCGGATGGGATGGGACCAATAGATGTACCTTAGATGGCTGCTTGCAAGCTTTTAAGACCCCAGACACTACTCACCAAAGAAGGATGTAGAACATTGTCTTATGAACTATCTTATGCCAATTGAACTAAATGTCCCCTGAGACTATGATCCCCAGCCCTCAGTCCCAGCAACTCAGTTCCTCAAGGTGTTTGGATGTGTCTAGGAAACTTCTATGACTTTGCCTTGGTCAAGCTGTGCTGACTTCCCCTATATTGTGTGTTGTCTTTCCCTTCACTAAAGTTGACACTTGTCTACTATCTAGTTAGTAATTTGCCCTCTCCATCCTTCCCCACCCTCATAACCATAAAGAATTTTATTTTCTGTGTGTAAACCTTTTCTTGAGTTTTTATAATAGTGGTCTCATATACTATTTATCCTTTTGTAATTGACTTATTTCACTCAGCATAATGCCCTCCAGATTCATCCATGTTGTGAGATGTTTTGTGGATTCATCATTCTTCTCTATCATTGCATAGTATTCTGTTGTGGGTATGTACCATAATTTGTTTATCCATTCATCTGTTGATGGGCACTTAGGTTTTTTTCCATCTTTTTGCTACTGTGAATAGTGCTGCAGTGAACATGGGTGTGCATGTGTCTATTTGTCTGATGGCTCTTATTTCTCCAGGATATATTCCAAGGAGTGGGATTGCTGGATCTTATGGTATTTCTATTTCTAGCTTTTTAAGAAGGTACCATATCATTTTCCATAGTGGTTGTATACCGTTTTACATTCCCACCAGCAACATATAATAGTTCCAATCTCCCCACAACCTCTCCAACATTTATTATTTTCTGTTTTTATGATTAGTGCCAGTATTGTCAGGGTGGGACAGTATCTCATTGTGGTTTTTGACTTGCATTTCTCTTATGACTAATGGTCGTGAGCATTTCTTCATGTGTCTGCTGGTCACCTGAATAACTTCTTTGGTGAAATATCTGTTCATATACTTTGCCCATTTTTTAATTGGATTATTTATATTTTTGTTGTTGAGGTGTTGAAGTATTTTGTAGATTTTAGAGATTAGACCTTTGTCGGATATGTCATAGCCAAACATTTTTTCCCAGTCTGTAGGGTCTCTTTCTACTGTTTTGGTGAAGTCCTTTGATGAGTATTGTGTTTAATTTTTAGGAGCAACCAGTTATCTAGTTTCTCTTCTGGTATTTGTGTATTATTAGTTATGGTTTGGATTCTATTAATGCCATGTATTAGGGCCCCTACCATTGTTCCTATTTTCTCTTCTATAATCTTTATTGTTCTAGGTTTTATATTTAGGTCTTCGATCAATTTTGAGTTAGTTTTTGTATATGGTGTGAAGTATGGCTCCTGTTTTCATTTTTTTACAGATGGACATCCAGTTATGCCACCACCATTTGTTAAAGAGACTATCTTTTCCACATTTAATGGGCTTTGGTCCTTTGTCAAATATCAGCTACCCGTAGATGGATGGATTTATGTCTGGGGTCTCAATTCTGTTCCATTGGTCTATGTGTCTGTTGTTGTACCAATACCAAGCTGTTTTGACTACTGTGGCTGTATACTAGGTTCTACGATCAGGTAATATTAGGCCTCCCACTTTGTTCTTCCTCTTCAATAATGCTTTACTTATCCAGGGCCTCTTCTCTTTCCATATAAAGTTGGTGATTAGATTTTTCATCTCGTTAAAGAATGCTGTTGGAATCTGGATCAGGATTGCATTGTATCTGCAGATTGCTTTGGGTAGTACTGACATTTTCACAATGCTGAGTCTTCCTATCCATGAGCATGGTATGTTTTTCCATTTATGTACATCTCTTTTGGTTTCATGCAGTACTGTTTTGTAGTTTGCTTTGTATAGGTCTTTTATGTCCCTGGTTAGATTTATTCCTAAATATTTTATCTTCTTGGGGACTATTGTAAATGGCATTGTTTTCCTGATTTCCGTTTCAAAGTTCTCTTTATTGGTGAAGAATCCAACTGTTTCTGTACTTTAAGTTTGTATTCTGCTACTTTGCTGAAATCCTCTATTAGTTTCAGTAGATTTCTTGTGGATTCTTCAATGTTTTCTATATATTGGATCATATCATCTGTGAATAGGGTAGTTTTATCTCTTCCTTACCAATTTGGATACACTTTCTTTTTCTTGCCTTACTGCTCTAGCTAGAACTCCCAGCACGATGTTGAATAAGAGTGGTGATAAAAGGCATCTTTGTATGGTTTCCATTCTCAAGGAGAATGCTTTCAATCTCTCTCTATTGAGAATGATGTTGGCTGTTGGTTTTGTATAACTGCCCTTTACTATGTCAAGGAATTTCCCTCTTGTTCCTATTTTGCATAGAGTTTTTATCAGGAATGAGTACTGGACTTTGTCAAATGACTTTTCTGTGTCGATTGAGATGATCATGTGATTCTTTTCCTTTATCCATACGGCGGATTATGTTGATTGATTTATTAATGTTGAACTATCATTGCATAACTGGTATGAATCCCATTTGGTCATGATGCATTGTTTATTTGATATACTGTTGAAATCTAAGACTGGAGTTCTGTTGAGAATTTTTGCATCTCTGTTCATGAGGGATATTGGTCTGTAGTTTTCTTTTTTGTGGTATCTTTGACTGGCTTTGGTATTAGGGTTATGCTGGCTTCATAGAATGAATTCAGGAGTATTCTTTCCTTTTCCATGCTCTGAAATAGTTTGAGAAGTAGTGGTGTGAGCTCTTGTCTGAAAGTTTGGTAGAATTCTCCAGTGTAGCCATCTGGGCCAGGGCTTTTTTTTGCTGGGCGTTTTTTGAAAAATTACCTCTTCAGTCTCTTCTTTTGTTATGGGTCTGTTCAGTTTTTCTACCTGAGCTTGTGTTTGTTTAGGTATGTAGTGTGTTCCTAGAAATTTGTCCATCTCCTCTAGGTTTTCCAAATTGTTGAAGTACAATTGTTCGTAATATTCTGTTATGATCCTTTTTATTTCAGTTGATTACCCATCTCATTTCTTATTCAGATCATTTACTTCCTCTTCTGCTTTTGTTTTGTCAATTTGGCCAGTGGTTTGCCAATTTTGTTCATCCTTTTGAAGAACCAACTTCTGGTCTTGTTGATTCTTTCTATTGTTTTTCTGTTCTCTATTTCATTTATTTCTGCTGTAATCTTTATTATTTCCTTTCTTCTGGTGCCTGTGGGCTTCTTTTGCTGCTTTCTATTTGTTCGAGTTGTAGAGTTAATGTTTTGATTTTGTCCCTTTCTTCTTTTTTGATGTGTACGTTTATTGCTATAAATTGACCTGTAGGCACTGCTTTTACTGTGTCGCAAATGTTTCGGTAAGATGTGTTTTCATTCTCATTTTATTCTATCAATTTTTTTTTTTTTAATTCTATCCTTGATTTCTTCTATTATCCAGTAAGATAGTTTTCTTTAGGAAAAAAAAAAGAACCTTCCTAGATTTTGTGTCATCCTTGTGCAGGTATCTGTTAATCTTCTCTGTATTGTTCTAATTTTAATATATGTACTGCTGAAGCAAGCACTGCCCAGTAGTTTTTAGGCAAGGTGTTGTTCAGTTTCCATGTATTTGATTTTTTTTCCTTTAATATTCCTGTTATTGATTTCTACTTTTATGGAGTTGAGATAAAAGAAGATGATTTGTATTATTTCTATGTTTTGGATTTTGTTGAGGTTTGCTTTGTGGCCTAAATGTGCTCCATTTTGGAGAATGTTCCATATGTGTTAGGAAAAGAATGTATAATTTGACGACGTTGGGTGGAGTGTTCTGTTTATGTCTATGAGGTTGAGTTGCTTGATTGTGGCATTTAGATCTTCTGTATCTTTGTTGAGTTTCTTTCTAGATGTTCTGCCCTTCACCAAAAGTGGCATGTTGAAGTTTCCTACTTTTATTGTGGAACTATTTCTCTTTTCAATGCTGTTAGAGTTTGTTTTATGTATATGGCAGTCCTGTCACTGGATGAATATATATTATTTATTGTTATGTCCTCCTGATGTACTGACACTTTTAATCATTACATAGTGTCCTTCCTTATCCTTTATAGTGGATTTTCTGGTGGATTTTGAAGTCTATTTTATCAGAGATTATACTGTCACTCTTGCTCTTTTTTGCTTATTGTTTGCTTGATATATATTTTTTCGTCCTTTGAGTTTTAGCTTGTTTATGTCTTTGTGTCTAAGGTGTGTCTCTTGTAGACATCATATAGATGGATCATGCTTTTTTTAATCCATTCTGCCACTTTCTGTCTCTTCACTGGTGCCTTTAAGCCATTTACATTCAGTGTAATTATTGAAGGTATGAGTTTACTGCTGTCATTTTGTTGTTGTTGTTGTTTTAATGGTGTTGATAGTTTCTTTGTTCTGCTTAATTTTCTATGCTGAGTTATTTTTGTTTATAGATTTTCTTTTCATTTCTCTCCTTATTCTTGATTTTGTGTTTATTGAATCTTTATATTTTTCTTCTTTTTTTATTTTGATGGGTAGGTTTGTTAGCTTCCTTTGTGGTTAGCTTGAAATTTACCTTTATTTTCCTAAGTTTAAACCCGTCTTTTATTTCTTCATATTGCTTTGACTTCTCCTCCATATGGAAGTTCTATAATGACACCATTTATTCCCTCTGTTTTGAAGTTGTCATCATTTACATATTGACATCTATGGTTTCTTATTTTCAGTCTTTTAGCTTTGTTTTGGTTGGTATTTGGTTGATCTGTCCTGTGCCCTAATCTTGAATTGTTTTCTGATGTTGTTTGTTCTCCAACCAGAGGAATCCCTTTAACATTTCTTGTAATTCTGGTCTGGTTTTTACATATCCCCTTAATTTACTAATTTTGTATAATTCCTTTTATATAACATTCTGGAAGTGACACAATTATAGTGATGTAAAGCAGCTAAGTGGTTGCAGGGAGGGTGTGGATAATGGGGTTAACACAATGGACACAACAATCTTGAAGACGGGGCAGGACTGGGCAGCATTTCGTTCTGTTATACATAAGGTTGTCATGAGTCAGAGCTGATTCAATGCAAATAGCAATAACAACAACAACAGGAGTGGGTTTCTTTGTGATGATGGAACTGTTCTGTACCTTGATTATGGTGATGGCTACCCTATATGTAAAAAAAAAAAAAAGCTTCATAAAGCTATACAACAGCAACAAAAAAGAGTACACACAGAAAAACTAGTAAAACATGAATCAGGTATGTTCCTGAATTAGTAGAATTGTACCAACATCACTTTCTGGTTTTGACAATGTACTATGGTTATATAAGATATTATCATTGGGGGAAGCTGGGTGAAGGGTAAACGGGAACTCTTTGCACTATTCTTGCAACTTCTTGGGAGCCTTAACCTTTTTCAAAATAAAAAGCTTTAAAAAATATTCATGATGTGAACTCTTACAATTTTAAACACGGGGAACTAGTTATTTTTAAATAGTCTGTTTGCCTCTCCTCTTCCAAACACCCCCCGCCCCACCAATAAAAAACAGAATACAACACAGTGGACCAAATGTGGCCCACTGTTTGCCAGATTATTCAAATACACTTCTAATTCATATGCTACTCCTGATATCTTTCTGCACTCCCTCTCCATTCACATCAAAGTAATCACCCTAAGCTTAGCTCTAATCACACTCTTCCCCTGCTCAAAGTCGTTCTTTGCTTCCTAATGTCTACGGAATAGAGGTCAAAACTCTTACTTTGCTATTCAACAACCATCAACACATAATATAGCTTGAATTTACATGTACAGTTCTCTCTATCTCTCTGTCCACTCCTGTATTTCCTAAATCCCGGGCACATAAATTGTCATTCTTAAAAACTGCTTATGCTTTCCTCTGCAATGCCTTAATTCAAAGTGTTCCTCGGAATGTTCTTGTCTTCTTCTTCACTGGTTCTCCTGGCTGGAGGAAGCCCTTATTTTGTCTGGAATTTCATAAAAGATTATAATTGGTACTTCATATAGCACATATATTTTGCATGGTATCATGGTTATTTTTGTTTGTCTATTTTTTTCACCAGAATTATTTCCTCTTTGAAATCCTAAATCACATATCATTTATCTTAGTATTTCTCATAAATTTAAGATGGTGTCTTGTGTGCAGTAAATACCCAAACATTTGTTGAATTAAAGCTTTGTCAAAATGAGCATTTAAATAAAGGTCTAAGCAGATCCTATTTATTTCAGCACTCCATTACCCAACACTGTAGTTGGGTAATATCACCCACAAAGCAGCTCAGAGAGTACAGACAGGCAGGTATAAACTAAGCCCTAAGTCAAAATCCAAACTATGGCTTTGGATAATACAAATGTAAAGGTACAGAGCTTGAGATACTCCAGAAGGGAATGGATTCCAAGTGTCCTCCCCAGTGGGTCCCCAGTACAGACATTTGTAGATGGAAAGATGAGCATGGGGAAGTTCTGATAAGCTTTTTTTTTTCAATTCTATATTCTACATCAGTTTCAAGAAATTAAATATGATCAAATATATGGCAGGTTTTGAATCAACTAAAACTGCTGAATTCATTAATCAATTCAACCATTCATTCAATAAATATACTACTATATACTGGATAAAAGAAAAACAATAAGACATAGTTTCTATGTAGCTAATAGTAAAATCTAACACACACACACACACACACACACACACACACCCCTACACACCCCGCTAAATATGAGTTTGTAGTTGTCTGTAAAACTATCAGAGTACAACATTATATATGGCCCAGTGGTAGTCAGAAAATATTTCTTAAATGAACATATTAAATTGACTAAGAGTTTAATATTTAGTTTTTTGGGGAGTTTGAGTATTGTCATGGATTGAATTGTGTCCTCCCAAAATAACTGTCAACTTGGCTGGGTCATGATTCCCAGTATTGTATGATTGTGTACCATTTTATAATCTGATGTGATTTCCTTATGTGTTGTAAATGCAATCACTATGATCTAATAAGATGGATTAGTGGCAGTTATACTGATGAGGTATACAAGATTGGATACAGTCTTAAGCTAATCTCTTTTGAGATATAAAAGAGAGAAGCAAGCAGAGACACATGGGAACCTCATATCACCAAGAAATCAGTGCCAGGAACAAAGCTCGTCCTTTGGACCTGAGGTTACTAAGATGCTCCCAGACCAAGGGAAGACTGATGCATCACAAGGTCCTTCCTCAAGAACTGACAGCGAGAGAAAGCCTTCTCCTGGAACTGACGCCCTGAATCTGGACTTGTAACCTACTAGACTGTGAGAGAATAAATTTCTCTTTGCTGAAGCTATCCACTTGTGGTATTTCTGTTATGGCAGCACTAGATGACTAAGACAAGTACATAGAGCCAAACACTCTTAACTGTTTTGTTTTACTTTCAAAAGTTCTGAGACAATTACACTTTCCACCATTAAGCATTTGTTTACTGCGCTTAGAACATACTTACATTGACTGGATCTAAAATCCTGGCTCTGCTGTCTGCTAACTGATCTTGGAAACTTAACATGTTTTCATCTGTACAATGGGAATGGTAACATCTGCCTCAAGGACAGTTGAGAGGATTAAATGGAATGATGAACGTGAAGGGTTCAGCACCCACTAAGTGCTCAGTGAATGAGAGCTATCATCATCCATGTTATTATATATGGATGAATGATTGTATCTAAGTCAAAAGACTATGTTAATGACCACAAAGAAAATCACTTGGCAGATAAAGTTTGATGGTCTCTACTTCACTAATTATTGCTTTTGAAAAACACTTAGGAATTCATTGGTTCAATGATAAGATATTTACTCAGTTATTACTCTGTGTTAGTCACAATGCTAGACAGTGAAAATACCTAAATAAGACTAACAGTTTGGTTGCAGAAAGGAAGTACAAGCAAAAGACATGACAGTGGTTTAAAAAACACAGGGAAACTTCTTATCTTTGAGATGGTAAAATATCCAATGTGGCTGAATCGTATAGTGACAGTTGGAGATGGAGTTGGAGAAGTAAACTGGAACCAGCTTATGAAAAGACCTGTATGCCATGGTAGCAAAGAGAGGATATGATGACGCTAAATTAAATGGAATGTCATTTATGAATTTTTAATCAGATAAATGATAGAATCAGATTTTTAACTAGATAATTCTATCAGTAAGGTGTCTTTAATTATGAGGATGGGGTAAAGAAATGGGAAACTGGATAAGATTTAGGGAGAAACTATAATAGCAGGGAGAAAGGGGAAGATCACTTTTGGCTGGGATGCTAAGGGATGTTTTACAGGATTTTGTTGGTTTTTGAAACATGGCTAGGATTATAATGGACTGTGTGGAGTCATGTAAGGAAACACCATGGCTTTCTTGTCCAGATACACTCATCACTCACCAGCAATCATTTCTGATTCCTGGGCAACACTCCAAGTCATTTCCTGTTCCCCTAACCCAATTGGTTGACCTCTGGAACTAGTCCATCCATTCCCCCCCCGACACTGGGGTTCTCTTACCCATGATCTACTGTGTGGACAGGCGCACAGCTTTCCCCTGGACCTCCTGCCCTC